AGAACTTCATGGGCAAATCTTTTCATATAAAAATATGAAATCCAGCCCTGGCCGGTTTGGCTCAGCGGTTAGAGCGTCGGCCCATGGACCAGAGAGTTCTGGGTTCGGTTCCCGCTAAGAGCACGTACCTCGGTTGCAGTTTGTCCCCGGCCCTGGTTGGGGTCGTGTGAGTGGCAACCACTCAATCTGTCTCTCTCACATCGATGTTTCTCTCTCTCTATCCCTCCCACTCTCCCTCCCACTCTATCTGAAAAAAAAAAAAAAAATGAAATCCAGATTTTATATTTTTAATATTAAAATAATGGTGAAACATCAATAAAATACTGTATTCTGTACATAAAAATAGCACTATGTGGAGAACACTGAGAGCCAGTGAGGCCGCCTATAGGACAGGCTCAGGAGAGCAGAGCTGGCGTGGGTGGTGGCATCGTCCCCAGAGGCGGCTCCGGGCCGTGTCAGGGTGAATTCTCGGAGGTAGGGTCGTGCAGGGAGCGGAGGCGAGGCCTGGTGCTTTGGGCAGAGGGATACTCAGATTTATGGAAAAGGACGAAATGACATCAAGAATATGCAGCAGCCTTGGCTGGTTGGTAAGCCCGAGGCCGGAAGAATCAAAAGTTCAATTCCTGGTCAAGAGCACGTACCTTGGTTGCGAGTCCGATCCCCAGCTCCGGTTGGATCATGCAGGAGGCAACCAATCAATGTGCTTCTTACATCGCTGTCTACCCCCTCCAACCCAACTCCATGTAAAAATCAACGGAAAACTATCCTCAGAAGAATATGCAGCAAGCACAGCCCGTGGAGGGAGGAGGGCACAGCAGACACAGGACAGGCAGTTCAGGAAGGGGATGACGCCCCGAGGGTCCAGGGAAGAAAAGCAACAGAATAAGAATCACTGGGTTGGGTGTTCAAAGGGAAGCAATCTGGCATTTAGTCACTACCTCTCTGGCCAATTTTACAGGCTAGACACTGAAGTAGGTCCTTAGCATATAGTAGCTCATTTGCTCTTGGCAACCAAGCATTATTGTGCCTACTTGACAGATGGGGAGACTGAGGAGCAGAAACAGTATTTGGGAGCTAATCTGAGGCCCGCATATAACAGCCCCAGGGCAGTCAATATCATCTGTCAGAGAAAGAGGAGCAGACAATCTCCCGCATCCACCCAGGACCGCAGGAACCCAGAAAAAGATGCTGCGTCTGCTGGGACTGCCCCCAGAAGCCTCCAAACACACCACCGTGAGGCTAGGCAGCAGGCACCGTGTGCCACACCCACCCGCTGTGAGTGAGCTTCTCTCTGCTGATGTGGGGACAATGGACAAAAGAACGGCCCAACTGGCAGGGGCATGTATGTGTGGTCGGCTGCCTCACATCACTCAGGTCCTCAAAGTACACTAAGCACCTTCCATGACTGAGGGAAGAATAAGGCCCAGCCCTGCCCTCAGTCGGCTGCAGCTCTACCAGGGCCCTGGAAATCCTCCAAGAAGTTTCACTTATTCAGAAACCATTTGGGCCATTTACATCTTCCTGCTTCCACATCTCAGCCAGCTGCAGTCCCCAGCCTTTGCACTCTGCAGACCCTCTTCAAAATCCCCAGTCATCTCGCCAGGGAGCATCCTCCACGGTTCCTGACATCTTGCAATTGTGCGGGCTCCAGTGTCCCAGTGAGGGACACTGAAGGCACGTCAGAGGAGGTGGCACCCACAGGGCTCCTCGCTGGTGCCCGCCTTTGGCTCCCAGCGACTTCACACCAGAAACCCCACCAGGACTGGTGACAAAATCACCCAGAACAGCCTCACATTTACCACCCGTGCCGTCAAGTACTGCCACCACCCAAGGACTTCAGTCCTGAGGAGAGAGCCAGCCCCACCCTCCTCCTCTCTACCCCAGTTCTTCTGCAGTGAGTCACCCATGCATCGCAGACGGGCACTCGGCTGCACACCAGCTCCACCCAGAACAAGCAGCATCACGGTGCACAGTCTACGCCGGCGGGCTCTGAGCTGAGCTCCTGGAGTGCTCAGGCAGGAAGGGCCCTGGGGGAGCAGCGTCGAGGGACACTGGAGGGACTTTGGCATCCACCTTCTCCACTTTTGCCTCGATTATATTTAAGGGTTTGGGATAACATTTTGATCAAAAGGGGTAAAAAAGAGGGTCCTATTGCTTTAAAACGTTTGAAAAGCACTGTTCAAGACAAATAGGCAAATCGGTACACAACTTGGTTACCAACTCCCACCCGACACAGAGCACACATGCCTGTCCCTTTGGAAACGCCTGACAATTCCTTAGCGGTGCATGCCCTCCAGTGTTTCGCAGCACCCACTCCCTGTGTCAGCACTGGGTGCCCTTCCCAAACACCCCCCATGGGGTCAACTCCAGCATGGGTCAACTCCAACAGAGGGAATCCCCCGCCTCCTCCACCATGCAGACCAGGACAGCCACCAGGGCCTTGTCCTGTCACTCACTCCAGCTTGGGCCCCTTCTTCAAAAAGAGCTCCTTCTCAGTCCCATGTGCTAAACTCCCCGTGTGCCCCTGGCCATAGCCCAGGCCCATTTCCCTGACAAATCTATCAGCTCTAAAAGGGACAGACAGGAAGGGGGTCAGTGAGGACAAAAGGGGACACACACAGGCCCCACTCAAACCTGGTCACCCACAAGGGTCCAATGCTGAAGCCTGGCCACTCCTGTTCTCTTTTAGTTATAAGCTTTTACCCCCAAATGTTTTCTTTGGAGAAAATTTAAAGCCACAGAGAAGCTGAAGGAATAGTTCAACTACATAACCAAAGTACCATTATCACAAGTAAAAAAAAGTAATATTTATTCAATAGCATCTAATATATGGCTTATATTCAAAATTGTGCAATTATCCCAATGTATCTTTTCTATATATTTTTTTTTGATCCAGGATCTAATCAAGGTTCACCTATTACATTTGATGTTAAATCTCATTAATCTCCAAAAGAGTATCATCTTTTTAAAAAATAACATTGAATTTATTAAGAGATTCTGGCCAATTGTTTTGCAGATAGTCCCACGTTTCGGTTTTTTCTGTTTCCTTAACTAGACTCGGTTACACAAGTTTGGCGTGAATATTACATAGTAATACTGTGCACATCTTACTCAGATCACCTCAGACATCACCTCAGGCCATCCCACTACTGGTGGCTAAACTAGAACACTTAGTTAAATTATTAACTGGCAGATTGTGCCACTGTACCTTTAAAATCAGTAAGCAGTCTGTGAGGTATTCCTTTGAGACCATGTGATCTACTGTTCCACAATGATCACTCACCAACTAGTGTTTGCATCCCTGATGACCCAACCTAAGGGTTACCAAATAGAGATTTTCTAAATTCATCAGCTGATGTTCTAATAAGAAGAGCCCTCCCTCTCCCTCACCTTCGCCCTCTTCCTCTCCCTGATTATTACTGTACACTCATGAGGGTTGTTTATATTATTCAATGTGTCATAACCCATTACCGTCATTATTCTATTTGATGCTCAAATTGTTCCATTCTTGCCAATGAGAGTCCTGTCATGCCAACCACTGGGTCCTCTGATATGACCCCGTTCGCCTTTGAGTTCTGTGTTGCTTTCTAGCAGGAGATGTCCCAGGCTCACCTTGTACTCTCCCTGCTCCAGCCTGGAACAGTGATTTCACTGGGTCCTTTCAGTGGGACTCACCCTCTTCTTCAGCAGAGCAGCAGCTTTGCATTCTCTCACCTTGCTCTAGCCATAACCTCATTTTCCTTTCTCCCTACCTCCTTTCCTGTCATTCATCATTTGCAGAGCACAGATGGCTCTTTGTCCTGGGCAGCAAGTGGGGAGGAGAAGGTGTAAGAGGGGGGAAGGAGAGACGAAGACCTACAGTAAATCTGTGGACATTATCAACCATTTACCAGTCGAGGAAAAGCTTCCCTTTTTATAAGTGACCACATGCTTGGCTATTTCCAAAGCACGGCTTATATTTTGAGAAGGTACTGTCTTGTGATTCCATGTATAAAATGTACATTATATCATAGCTTATTTATTTTATACGTATATAAAATACATGCAGATGAAAAACTGCTACCTACACCCTGGTATTTCTGACCCTTCTCTGGTTTTATTTGTTCTCCATCCCCACTTACTACCTTCTAACCTATAAGTTGTGCTTCAGTTTTACATTTTTGTTGTTCTCCCCATAGACTGTGAGGCCTGTGAATGACAGGCATGTTTTGTTTACTGCTTGGTTCACTACTATCCTCACAGGGTCTAGAACAGTGCCTGAAATCCAGTCAGGCCCACAACTGTTTGGGAATGAGAAAAATAACCTGCCTAGGACCACAGCCGAGAGGTGAGCAGGGTGTGCTACGTACCCCTCAAGCCTCTGCTTCCCTGTCACCCCCCAAGCAGTGTGGGATTCCCTTACCTGTGTCCCTAAAGCCCTTCTCACACTTCCGGATGCTAACCCTCAAAATATCCCTCTTCACTCTTTACTGACTTGTCTCTCTCACTCAGAACACTACAAGCTCCTCTAAGCCAAGGCGAGGACAGGGTCAGACTTATCTCCCTGGCCCAGCACTTAGCACAGCAGCCGGCACAATGCCTGCTACCTCCTACCTGCAGCCAAGTGCCATGGCCCTTACCCCACGCCCTGGAGCCCACTGGGCTCTTCCTCCCCTGGCCTCTCCACCGCGTGAGCTGGGCTCCGGCTCCAGGTGCGGAGAAAGGCTCCGGCCCGCCGGCAGCTCACAATGGGCCCTTTGACTCCCGGACTGTGCGCTCTCAGGGAAAACACCTGCCCCTGAAGCCAGCACGGAGCCCGTGTTCATCAGGAAACGAGGGCAGGGCATGGGCTGGCCGAGAGCGGTCAGAGCGGTCCGCCCTCCGGGAGGGTGGAGAGGGTGGCAAGGTCCAGGGGCCTGACCCGGCTCTGTGCACGGCCTGCACAGAAGACGGGAGGGGCGGGTGAACAGAACAGCACGAAGAGTAGAACATGCCAGCGCTTTGCCTCAGAAATGCCTTACTTGTTCTTTTCCTTCAAACTTCTTTTCACTTTCCTCCGAAATCGGACTCTCAGGGGGCACCGTCAGCCGTAGTCTGCAGACATTCGCCTAGAGGGACAGAGAGGAGAGGCCAATTATGAACCTGCGTTTGGGGTAGAAAGAGCTGGGTGGTCTTGTGCTTCTAGAAGCCTGTTTCCCTACTTAGCAATGGGAATAATCGTACCAACCACACAGGGACTCTGCCTGCCCATCACCGACATCCAACACACTCTGCTCAATACTTGGAAACCGCTGCATGATTTCATAGTGTTACAGTGTTTTTCAAGAGTACAAATAGGATGATCTTATTTCACACGCATAGTCCAAAATACAGCGAGAGGGACAGAGGCCAAAATGCACTCAGTGGTGACTGGGGTGCGAGGGTGCTTTCTACTTGACTCTGTATCAGATTTTTACAGTAAACATGTACATGTTCAATCACAAAGTTTTTTTGCCTACACAGCCATGTTCACAGCAGCATTATTCACAACAGCCAAAGGCGAAAGCAACACACATGTCCATCGATGGATGAGCGATGAATGTATGTACACACAAAGGCATATTATACAGCCTTAGAAGGGAGGCAATTCTGACACATGCTACAACATGGATGACCCTTGAGGACATTACGCTCAGTGAAATAGGCCAGTAATGCAAATGCACAGAGACAGAAAGTAGAGTGGTGACTGCCAGGGGCTGAAGAGAGAGGAGTGAGGATTCATTATGTATGGGTATGGAGTTCAGTTTGAGAAGATGAAAAAATTCTAGAGACAGATGGCGGTGATGTTTGCACAACAATGAGAATTATTTACTATCACATGTTGTCTATTTCACCCTAATGTCACAGCCTGGTCCTGCTGTGACATTTCCCAAGGAGAAGTGATCCTGTTATTTAAAAAAAACCCAGAGGCCCCAGCCCATGCCACACGGCCTCTCCGTACAGGAGTGCTGCTTGCCACCCGCTACGAATTGATTTGTGTCTCCCTGAAATTCAAATGTTGGAGTCCTAACCCCAGCACCTCAGAAAGTGATCTTATTTGGAAACAGGGTTTTTACAGATGTATGACTTTAAAATGAGGCCATTAGGATGGGCCCTAATCCAAAATGACTGATGTCTTTATACACAAGGGTAAATTTAGAGACAGACACGCATACTGGGAGAACACCCTGTCAACAAGCCAGGGAGATCAACCTGGAACAGATCCTCCCCTCAGCCCTGAGAAGGAACCAGCCCTACCAACCCCTTGATTTTGGACTTCTAGCTCCAGAACTGTGAGACAATAAACGTCTGTTGTTTACGTTCACCTGGTGTGTGGCACTTTTTACAGCAGCCCCAGCAAACGAATATACCCCGACCTGGTTTGCAGGTCACAGGTATGCCCTGATCCACCAGGTGGTCTCTGAGCAAAAATGCCTGCAGCTGAGAAACCCAGGGTGGGGTGGGATGGTAAAAGACCACTTCGGGCCAACCTGCCAGCCTGCGGAGGAACGAGGGGAGAAAACAAGCTGACTTGAAGTGGAGTCCATACAGTCAAGCTGACAAAACTGGTTCGGACCAAATGGGCTGCAGCATGAGGAACAGATTTTATTTTATTTTATCTAGCTTGAGGACTTAAACTTCTGAACTTTCCAGATGTATATCAATACCTGTAGATTAGATATATAGATAGATATAGATATAGATATAGATATAGATATAGATATAGATATATAGATATAGATATAGATATATAGATATAGATATAGATATAGATATAGATATATAGATATAGATACATATCCTACAGACAACCCTCTGACTACCCACCTGAGGGACTTAAGAAAGAATGGTCGCGTGCCCAGAGCGCCTGACATCCAGTATCCAGACCACGGGACACCCAGAAGATTATCATCTTGGACCAATTCAGAGACTAAGAATGCAGGGCTGGGTCTTCAAAAAAATGTACTTTTTATCATAAAAACTCTTAACTTTTCTTTCTTCTTCAGAAATCTCTTTGTATTACCTAGTTGTTGTTTCCAGTTTGCAAACCCTAAGACCCTTGTCTAAAACTGCCATTTTTAATTGTAGCAAAGCATCATGGTTCATAAACACTTGGTCGACACTATGAAGGAACCCCCACACCTACCGATGTAACTGGCCCAGTCTGAGATTAACACTGTCCACGCACGGGCAGTTGGGACACGTGTGAGCACTTCCACGTACACCATCACCTCCCTCCAGCATCCCGCTTGGCTACCCAGCACCTCTAACTTCCTGATAATGAGCGTGCATGTCCCCCCGGGACTCTTACTTGAGACCTAGCATTGCCCTTGGGGACTGCAGCAGAATTCCCTATCTCCAGACAGGCGTCCTGTCCTGTGACCCTCTCTTCCTCTGGATTGAACAATCCCAGTTCTTTCAACCACATGACTTGATTTCAAGATCTCTCTCAATCCTTACTCTCCTTTGCGCGAGCTTTGTGCCCCAATGGCCCTAAGGCTCTCTGTCTCATATGTGGTTAATTTTGCACCAAGCCTTCAGACCTCACTGCCAGTCATATTGGCCAAAGAGAAACCAACTATACCACAGGAAACTCTCTTAGCTGACAGGCAACAACACTGATGGGAATCTGAGTCCCTCCAGAAAAAGGCAACCCTCTGACTTCAGGTCACCTGACCTGGTTGAAACCAGCTGTCGTTTACACCAGCATCAAAGTGTAACTCACACCAGGTAGGCAATTCAAGTCTGTGATGCTCAGTAATCTATGCTAGGCTAGACCTAAACCACAGCAAACTTCTGAAGAGAAAAGAAGGTGCTTTTCTCCTGTACCACTTACACATATATACATACACACACACACTTGCACAGGTGCACACACAGGTCCCAATACCTACCAGCTGTGTTGACTATGGGCCAGTTATTTGAGCTCTCTGAATCTCAAGGGCAAATGTGAATAAAAGAAAGATGTCTGTCTGCCCTGGCCGGTTTTGCTCAATGGTTAGAGCATCAGCCTGTGGACCAGAGAGTCCCAGGTTCAGTTCCCACTAAGGGCACATACCTCGGTTGCAGTTTGTCCCCAGCCTCTGTTGGGGTCATGTGGGTGGCAACCAGTCGATGTGTCTCTCTCACATTGATATTTCTCTCTCTCTCTTCCTCCCTCTCTCCCTCCCGCTCTATCTGAAGATAAATGCAAAAATGTCCTCAGGTGAGGATAAAAAAACAAAGAAAGATATCTGGCACATGGTAAACTTCTATCAATGTCAGGTATTTTTATTACTATCTAGATAGTCACCCTACAAGCTCATCATCCTACAGGCTCCAAAATGAAAGGGCCTACTTGGTTCCATCGCTCTGCTTTCCGTGAAGATAACAATTTAGCCAGTGGATCTAGTGGGCATTAGAACTGTATGTGATTTTTTTTTATTGCCCTAGGTGGATAATCCATAATAGCAATAAACTAAGAAAACTGAAAAGGAAACAAGGCCCAGAGGGGTGCCCATGGGTCCAACCACCCAAGAGTGAGATGTCCCCTTCCCCGGCTCGAGCCCTTTCTCCATCTGTCCATCTAGAACGTTGATATTCCTCAACACACTTCCCACAGCTCTCCTGGGCCATGTGGACCCTGGGGTACACAAAGCCACAGGACAAACAGAATGCAGTTCCCTAAACTATCAGTTTTATCTGGGGACAGATAATGAATTACAATCAAATGACCCTCAACGATATCTGGCCGTTGCAGCGGGTGCTCGAGGCTACCCCCAGGGCCCTGGATTTTTCACACTTGTCACTAGAGGTGCTCTGATGGGAACAGTGAGGACCCTGCCAGCATTCTTCAGCCAAGGCTGACCCACTGACCACTAGCTGGACAGAAGCATTTAAACCCAGGGACCAGATCAGATGCTTCCTAATAAGATGGCCAAATGTATTGTCATGTGAAGGAAAAAAAGCTGCAAAAATGTTAAGAAGCAGCCCATTTTTTGTTTTTTGTTTGTTTAATCCTTCCCTGAGGATGTTTTTTATTGATTTTTAAAGAGAGAGGAAAGAGAAGGAGAGAGAGAAAGAGAGAGAGATGGAGAGAGAAATAGCAATCTGTTGCCTCTAGCACACACCACAGCTGGGGGACGGAACCCAGGTATGTGTCCTAACCAGGGGGACTCAAACCCACAACCTTTTGATGTATGGGATGATGGTCCAATCAACTAGGCCACTGACCAGGGCCCATTTTTGTTTTTTAAATACACTCTGATCATTTGTGTAGATTTATACAAAAAAAAAATGTCTTTAAGGAAACACAACTAACTGGTGGTCTCTAGAAAGTGGAATTTCTACGTTGTCTACAACGATTCCAAGTCTTTTAATTAAAATAACAATAGTAGTAGTAATAACACTAATAAAGACTGAGAGCAAATGTATCAGAAATAGAGGAAGAAAGAGCTATCAATCCTTCCCAAACCACCGGGACTGCCTCGGGAGCCGCAAAGAGAATATCCCAGTTGCCTCGAAGGTACACTGGATTCCTTAACAGAAGCACTAAGAAAAGTAACCCCTGCACACACCCACTAGGTATGGTTTACCTCTCCTGATTCATTCGTTTTCAGGAATCCCCTCATGGGAAAATCTCCCACTGAGTAAGATCAAGGAAAATCTCTCTCAGCATTTGGTGATGCTAATCCGGATGGTTTCCTGAAACTCAGATACAAAATACCCAGAGCAAGCCAGGCTGGGCAGTCCTGAGAGGCAAGTAGGGTACGTTGTTCTCAGGGGTTCCCACAGTGGCCGGCTCAGCCTTGTGTTCTGAACAACGAGGAATGCAGCACCTTACCTGCCCTGAACAACACTACTATTGGGCCAGCCAGCCCTCCAGCGCATAAAAGCAGGAAGATGGACTCGGTGTATTTCATCACTCAGTTACTGAGCACCCACTACTTGTAAAATGCTCTTAAGGGCTCTGAGGGTCTCAAGATGAAAAAGAAACATACTCCCGGGAGCTCAGAATTCAAAAGCACACCTAAACAAGGCAATCAAGAACACTCAGTGTTGCCCTGGCCAGTTTGGCTCAGCGGTTAGAGCATCGGCCTATGGTCCAGAG